GGCTTCGGTCTGACTCCAGCCCGCGGGGTTCTGCCTGTGTCCTTGGCTGTCCGGTGGCGCGGGAGGTGTTATCGTTCGCTTCTCTCCCTCACGGCAGGCGGGGAGGCACCATGTTCTCTCGCGGTTTCTTGTAGACGGCTCTTGTTGGGCCTGATTTGCCAAGGGCCTGTGAACGTTTCCGAGGACTGGGGTGTCTTTGTTATCGCACGTTTATATCATGATGAAAGTTCTGTTATTTCCCATCTCCTGTCAAGGCTGGGTGCCTTCTGCATTCTCACTTCCTAATGCAATAGCTGCAGGTAGGTAGGGAGATGTCCCAGAGTGATAAAAAGGCCTTAAAATAACAAAAATAAGCGTTGTGTTGCAAGGAATGTTGCCCCAGGAAATTAAAAACTGCATGGCACGGGGTGTGACATATATGCCTGCTTGCTCTCAGCCAGCAGAAAAAGCTGTTCTACCTGCTCTGTTGTCAGTCCCAGCTCCTGTTCTGTCAACTAAGGTTCTCAAAAATACTTCACTTAGAGAGAGAGATCAGCATCTGTCCAAAAGATGGTGCTGCAGCTGTGAGCGCCATGGAGTCAGCAAGTGAAAATGTTCTTTTTGAGAGCTGCATACGTTCAGATAATTTGAAAGCAAAATGGAAATTTTCCTTCAGCAGATACGCTTACGTTTGAGAAGAAGGGAAAGTTGTCAGCTCAATCTGAGGAAAAATTAACCACTTATTTTGATTCCTTGGCTTGGGTTTTTTTCCTCAGCCTGATCGCTTCTCCAGCTGAATTTACTGAATGTTTCCGTAGAATAGCAAAGGTAGGATCAAGTGAGTGAGGAAGGGGACAGATGGACGAGTTGCTGCTTAACTCTACAGGGAAAAAAAATCATACAGAACCAGCACCTTGGAAGATGGGGCACCTGAAGGTTCAGCTGTTGTAATGCTGTGTGCTGAAGTGCACACTGTAGCTCGAGTCTGAAGTGACTTGCGCTATATCACACGTATTGTTTGTATTAGAGCAAATGTTGCTGTTTTTTTTGCAACAGTGTTGACACATTTACCATTTGAATTTGTTGCACTCAGACTTTGTTGTGATAGTAAAAGAACATAAAGTTTTCTGGACATGTATTATAACCAATACTTAGTAGCAAATGTCACAGTTAATGTCTCTCTTTCCCAGGGAGATGACAGCCTTTCTGTGATAACCTGTGAGTCAGATACAGAAACGGTGAGTTTTGTTAGTGGTGCGCTGCAGTTGAATGCCTTAAAAGATGTCTCACTGTGTTCTTGCACATGCTGCGTCCACGTGATGCCTCCTGATCGATGAGAGACCCTTCAGAGGGGAGAGCTAACAATGTTATTGCAATATGATTTGATTCAAAAGCCTCCTCTAATTCCAGATGTAATTCTGGCTTCTAAATTCTCAGTGCTGGGGCTACAAATGATTTTTGGCTTCATTTTGCTGTTCTTTCAAGTTAAAGGCCTAAATAATCCTTTTACAGAGTCTTAATAGAATTAACTAAGTCTTTTAGTTACGTGGTTCTACAGGTCAGCATCTATTCTGTGGTCATCTTGAATTTGCTGCTACTTATATTTATTACTGATGGGAAAGGTCTTTGTGTTCCGATCATGAATAGACTGTTTTTTATTTGTAGCATGAAACCTCAGTAGGCACCTCCCTTAATTCTGGTGACCACTGCTGTGGCCAAATATACATAATGCTACTATTTTTGTTTTCTACACAGAAGATTCTGTTATTAAAACAAGTGCTCTTCATCCAAGGTGGAGATTGAAGCCAATTTTGAGATATATGCTGTAATCTTTAAAGAGTGAAATATTTTGTATACATTAAAAATTCTTATTCTCTTCCAGAAATTAAAGAAGAAAGTTTTTCACATGCCTCCAAAGTCACCAAGTAAGTATTAGAAAAATTTTTCTTCTCCTTTCATTATTGCGAAACAAGATACATTTGTGGGACACAGAAACTGGAAGATTTACTTGAAACAACATCCTGTTATTCTCAGAATTATTCAGTGGTGTGTGCAGAGCACACCTATGTGAGATTTGTTCTGTAACCAATGAAGTTAGACTTTTATAGGCTAAATGTTGAAGTTTATGGGCTAATTGTAATTCTTGATTCTCCAGCATGAACCACTTTCTTCACATGTTATCCCTCCTAATGGCAAGCATTCTGAATTTTACTTTGTCTTTCTGGACAAATGCTGATACTTGCTGTGCAGAAATAGTTTACAATTATTATTATGGCTCATAGGAGCCACCTATCTTCTAGTAGATACCTGTGTTTGTAGATTATGCTCTGTTTCATTTGTTGTTGTAGGTTTGTGGGGGTTTTTACATGACCTTTTAAGTACAATGTTGTTATTAGATCTGCAGGTTTTTGTCGGCTTTTTCTGGGGTTTGTGTTTCTTACTCTACTTTTCCATTTACCTTCCATTTTATACTTCCAGTGAATGTTTCAAAAAAGACTTTACGTCAACATGTTGCTGATTGTTGTTACTTTGTTTTGTTTCTAACAAATTAAATAATGTTGTACTTTAAAATGATGCTTTAGGTTGAGGAAGAGGCATGCTTCTCTGGGAAATGTGCAGCTATCTTCTTTCTTTTCCTGAAGTCCTTTTGCTTGCCTGAATGATGGAATTTAAAATAGCTGTTTAATTTCAAGTATGTTTGTGACATTGCTTCTTGCTCTATGTACTTCTCTTGGTAATTTGAAGACTAACTAATTAGCCCATTAACTAATTAGCTAATTTTAAGTGGAATTGGTGTCAGTATTTGAACCTGACCGCCAGACCTGAAGGAGTAATGTGAGGGGCTCCCCAGCAGTTGCATCAGACCAATAACTTGAATACTGCAAGAAAGTTGCTGTGGATTAGTAGCTATAGAGCTACTTCTGTCTGTTTAGCTACACATATTTTTCACATTGATAGGACATTTGTGTATACATTCATTCATACATCCAGTCAACCTAAGAGTTTAGACATGCAGGTATCTTGAGGATGCCTGTGCAAACTGTACGTGTAAATATTTCTATGGATGTTGAGTCATGTTACTGTCAGTATGCCTCTTTGTAAGCCTCTTGATTTTTTTGGAATTGGATTTTTTTCTTAATCATGATTTATTTTTTTTTAAGTGAATGTCCCGTTGCTCTGCATAAGCCAGTGTGTAGTATGCTGTTAATTTATGTTGGTTTAAGTAACAGGGCTGTGTCTGGGAACCTTGAAGCATGTGAAAGAATTGTTGTGTCCTTGAGCTTTTTAAGGCAATGCTGAGATATTTTCTTTTGTTTTAGAGTCTCCATACAGCTCTAGCACGCAACTGTATCCTAAAAAAGGTGCAGTTTGGCGACCTCAGCAGGGAACAGGCAGTGCATATCTCGAGACCCCAGCTGTAAAAAACTCAAGGCAGATGTGTCTGGGATCATTGAAACAAGGTATTAGTATAGAAACTTCTTCTGCATATGTGGATAAAATTCAGTGTTGTGGGCAGATTAACATATAAACTCTTAAGAAATAGATTTGTATTTGATTATAGGCTAGATAGGAAGTTATTTCGCTAGTATTTATTTGGGTGGTTGGACTTATCTGATCTTGAGCATTGGAATTTATAGAGGGAATAATTAACAGCATCTGGAGCTTTCCATGTTGCATTTGCTCAGAATAAATCCACAAATTTAATTCACAATTATCCCTGATTTTTGTATTTGTGTTCCATTTTTGTTGGCAGGAATGAGCTATCCTCTGAAATCAGATGTTGACGTGGAGCATATGCGAACTAACATTTCTAGTAACACTCCAGAATATTTGAAGGAAGCTCTAGGAATGAAGAAGCCAAAACATTCTCGTTCTTCTAGTAATGGTAAACTATATAATGTTGTGGTAGATAAAAGTTAATGATCTTTTTTCCACATAAAAATACACGTTGCTTAAGATCCTCACTTTAGTGAAGCAAGAACCAGTTCAGTTTAACCTGTACTAAAATATATGTGTCAAAATGTGATCCATGGGATACATTTTGAGATTTCTAAATTGGATAAGACTGGGGTTTCCAAATTTTTTTGAGCAATGAATCACTATTAGCTTTCAGAACTTTTTTCAAATTGCCATGCATTTGCAGCTGAAAACGTTGCAAATATAATATAGTTCAATGGGCCAGCTGTAGACAATTTATTTTGACTTTGCAAAACATATTTTAGGAACCATTGATAGAAACCATCTGCTTGCCTGAAATTCTATGTAATTTGACTCCTTTTACTTCTTCTCTAGAAAGTGTTTTATCATGGCTGTGAGATTCAAATCAATTGAGTTTAATGAGAAGAGCAAAATGTGAAACTTTTTCATGTTTTTCTTAAAGGAGAATGGTAAACTTAATATCACTTCCATTTCAAATGAAACCTATACTGTTACTTGTCATACACGGTTTCTGGCAACTTTAACAGATGATAGACTTTTACATACATTTGGACAGAAATACAAAAATGTATTCTGGGCATCTTTTAGAAATGTTTTGTAAAACAATTGATTTGTTGGGATGAGGAGACTGCAGTCTTCTGTGAAGTGTGTGTCTTCCTTGAGAGGGATGTTTTAATCTAGCACCAGAGAGAAGAGAAGCAATTAGGAGAAATTTGCTGTAAAATCTGGCAGAAGTTTCATACAGTAACATCTCCTTTTTACCTCCATTTCTAGAATTAATTTTCTTGATGACTTTCTTCTTAAAAAAAAAAAAAAAGCCTTGTTTCAAGTTTGGTGCTGATCTAGATATTTTAACTGTAAGGTTTCTGATTAGTTAAAAATCTGGTTATTTTATGTACCTTTTTCTGTAGGCTACATTTCTGGAACTCCTGACTACAAAGAAAAAGAAGATATGTATGATGAAATTATAGAACTGAAAAAGGTATGGTCTCTCTGATACTTACATAGAAAGTCATAGGGTCACTCCAGTCCCCCTGTAGCTGCCCAGGCCTTGTTGGTTTAGAATACTTTGATTTCTACAACTGGGACATCCACCAGATTTTTGATTTTGTATCTGTATAGCAAGGCTAAACTAAACTTGTCTGTTTAAGGCAATTTGATTGTTCTTATGGTGTGATAGATACTTCTGAGTTCTGGATCTGGCAGCCCTGAAGTATACCCAGTCTTGAACCCCAGCCATGGCCTAGCTGGACGCTGAAAAGGTTCATTGCATTTGGTTTCTTTGTCCCTCCATCTCCCCGTTTTTTTGTCTTTTGTCCCCCTCAGCTGTTTCCTATCACATTTTAACAATTTGTCAGTTGAGTTCGGTGCAGTGGGTGAAAGATGAGGACTGGGCATGTTGAACACTAGGGACACCTTAGGCAAGAATCTTGACTGTTGTGGATCATTTGTGTAAGGTTGCCTTTTTCTTAAACCTTTTCCTTTTATCTTTGCCTGTCACCATCCTTATCAGTCAGTCCTGGTCCAGTGTGATGGTCTCTTCCTTTTTTTTTTTTTGTTCTTTTCTTTCTCTTGTTTCATCCTGACCATCCTAATTGGATTGTTATTCACATCAAAACATGTTTCTATGTGAAAACTCAGTGTGTTTCTATTTCTGAAACGTGCTTACAGTTTTTCTCCCCTCTTTTAGACAATACACGCTCAGAAAAATGAGGGAGATCGGATGAAAACTAAGCTTCGTCGACTAGAAGAAGAGAACAATAGAAAGAATAAACAGATTGAACAACTGTTGGATCCTTTCAGGGTGACTGTTTCTTGAGGGGGGATAAAAGTGAGGCAAAAGAGTGCTGTGCAGTGTGATCCTCTTCTCCTTGTCTCTCTGGATTTCAGGGTTCTGTAGTCTGTTGGCTCCGAGGAAGGATGAGCTTGAATATGGGAGAGAGTTGGTTGATGTGAAGGGAATTTCTGTCTTGTATATCTCAGCTCACCAGTCCAGCTCCGTTCAAAGGAAGATCATGCAATGCTGTGCTGATAAGTTTGTTTAGAAAAGATATTTTACCTTCAGAAATTAAATGTGAAAATGCTGTTTCTTTAGAGGCCCAGTTTCTGAATATTTTGCCTGAGAATAGTAGGGAGTTTAACATCTGCCATGGTGACTGATGCATGCAGTCCTGACACCTGGACCAGGAAGTAAAAGATGAGCCGTATTGTCAGCCCCACAAGGCTGAGAAGCATTTAGGGTCATTGTTAGAAGACCTGAATTTCACCAAATTCCCTGTGGCTGTCACTTTCTGTGCGGAGATCAACATCTTGGGCGAAGTGTGCTAATACAAAACAATGAGCATAGGGACTTCAGGGTTCAAACTGTTGGCCTGTGAAATGACTGTGGAGATGAGTAGGTTATAAAATTCTGTGGCAAGAGCTGGCAGTAGAATAAAGTATAAAGGTTGGTTACTTGCTTTATCTGTCTTCTCTTGCAGGGCTCAGAGCTGGCACAAGCTTTGTCAAAAAAGACGACTAATAATGGATGGGTAATAGTTACTTCATTACCTTTTGCTTTCATTTTTCTTTTTTTACCTCTTGCCAAACTGAAAGACTACTGATTAAAAAGTAAAGTGAAGTGAAAAAGAATTAGGGTATTATGTGACCATTATTTCTGCAGTCAGATAAGAAACCAGTAACAAATGTCTGGAATTAACATTATTTGAGGGAGCTGCCTTTGTCACTGTCTTGAAACTGTTTAGGGAGTATTGTCCTTATTATTTGATGCTTTGAGTTTATCAGGGCCAGAGACATGCAGACATGCTCATGGTTTACTACGTAGTCAAGTATGTAGAAATAAGTATATCTGGTTAGGTACAGTTTATAAAGACAGAGCAAGGCTATGCAGAAATGGCTCTTCTGTGGAGAGACAGATTATTCTGGGACTCATGAGCTCTTTCTTCTTTCTGTAGGCGGTTAGTGGATTAAAGCAGAAGATTCTCAAGCTAGAACAACAGTGCAAGGAGAAAGACAACACCATTAAGTATGACTTTGGGGGCTGGAGGCTTGTACTGGAAGATATAATAAAGGGAATTTGAAATCCATGGGTTTTTTACCTCTGTATTCTTCTGTTCCTTAACATGTTTTAGTGTACTTTGAGAACATACTGAGAATTACAAACCACCAACCCAGAAATTGTAAACCAGCAGGTTTACGGCGATAATGGATGGGTCTGACTGAATGTTTTTTTGTATTATTATATTTTCAGCAAATTGCAGGCAGACATGAAGACCGGTAATTTGGAAGAAATGAGGATAGCTATGGAAACCTACTATGAAGAGGTATGTCTGACAGGTCCCTCAACTTGCATACTGAGAGGAAGTTGTTCAGTTGTTGAGTCAAAGTATACATGGAAGGTTTTAGGTTTCTTACAGCTGAGCTGCACCTGTCATTGGAATCAGATTTTCACAGATTTCTCATAGTTCCAAACATACGTACTGAAAAACCTTTTTTCTTCCAGTAAGTTGGGTGTGTTAACCAAAAAGTGGAAATAAACTACCACGAGCATCTAGATGAAAGCCAATGTAACGCTAGCCTGATTTTCAGTGATGGCATCATTGCCTCTCCTACTACCCAAGAGTCTTGTTCTGATTTTCACCTAATGGACAAATGGGTTGCATGAGCGATGTCAGCTTCCACAGCTAGCTCCTTAATGGAATCTGTATTTCATATTTCACAGGTTCATCGTCTCCAACTCCTCCTGGCAAAATCTGAGACTATGAGGAAAAAGTATGTTTCATTCTTGTGAGGCAAATGTTTGCATATATGTGTTTGATATACCCCTCATATACTACTACAACTGATGGAACACAACTATGTGGGAACAGTTTTTGTCATTTAGGTTGCTGGATTTGCTTTTTGGTACTGCTTTGGTTGGCTTCACAGCTTTGGCATATGTCTTAGTCACCTTTGGTTTGGTTTGTTTTTTCTTTTAGGTCATTTAGCAAATGTTGAAAAATAGTAGAGCTATTTTAAAAAGTACATGAAAGTTCTGAAAAATTCTCTCAGTTAAATAAAATCCATCTTCCCCCATAATCACACCTTTTCTGACATCACTGGTAATTGAAACAAACTCTCTAGATAGTTGGCATTTTACTCAAGTCAGTTCTGCATCTTGCTCTAGGGTGTATGCTGCAGAGATGGTATTTTGGAGTAAACATTATTTTCCGGTGGTACAGCAAAGCAGATCTGCACATCAAATCTGCACATCTTCTGTGAGATACCCCTGAGTGGCACTAGGAAAACACTGTCAGAGAGGCTTGTAGTGGTGCTTATGCCTGGTGTGCGGGTGTATACAGGGCGGTGAGGGTAAATGGTCCGTAGAGGAAATAAAAGTCAAAGCACAAAGGCAAAAGACAAAGCTCCAGTAAGAGATCAGAGTAAAAGTGTCTATGCAAGTAAGGGTTATTCGAGCTGAGAAGAGAGTAATAGAGTCTTGTTACCACACCCCTTCAAAATACGCTTGCCCTCCTAGTGTTAAGTACAGGCAACTATCTGAATTTAGGGTGTAATTATTTAGATTGATTGAAATGTATGAGAACTCTTTATAGGCCATTATGGATAGTACTTGTGTTTCCCTAATTCACTCTCTCTTGTGGATTGAAAACTGTCATTTGTTCTGTCACTGCTTAAAAAAAATAATTCTCTCTTGACTCAGGCATGCAGTGACGAGCCTCTCGAGGCTGTAAGCCATCACACCTCATTTATTTGCAGGTGAAAATGAGTCATCGGGTCTCTTCCTTGTCCTCATTTATTCATAGCTTCAAAAAGCAGTGGTCAGGGCAGTCTCTCTCCATTACGTGCCTGTCAGTCTCTACTGGAGAGACTGAGCACTGAAATAATAAATGATATTGAAGGTCGGGACTCTGCACATAGAATTGTAGGAGAGTCTGTCTTTCATGATGCTTGTCTGTGGTGTTTCTGGCTGAAATGAATGTCATGTAGCTCCTCTTTTTCAGTGTTAATGCTTAAAAATGATTATTTATATGTGAAGATGTAGTGTCCAATTGTAGCTAGAAACTAGGCAACCTTTCGAGCCCTCAGAATGGTCTGCAATTCTTTCATTTAGGTTCTGATGAGCCTAAAATAATGGCACTCGGTGATACGGTTATGATGTCTATAATTTCTGTCACTTTCCTTTCTTGTGGTGTGTCGTGTTTTGCTTTTTACGTGTTTTTCTTTCCTGCCTGGGACAGCTGTATGAATTGTCATCCGTGGCATCTGGGCAGTCTTATTTGTTTGTTTTTATGGCTTCATTTCCTTTTAATTTCCAAAAGGTAGATTAGATTCAGCTTTCCACGCTGATCTGCAAACTGTAGACTGTCTCCCCTTTTACCTTGTAATTATTCCAGTGGATGGGATGCCAGACTCCACAAACTGTTCCGTGATTTCCACTGGCAGTAGTGGCATTTGTCCAAAAGTATGTCAAATTTGTTTAAAATCTCTTATTGATTAGAAAGTAACTTAAATGAAGAAAGAAGTTTCTCTTGGGGTTTACTTTCACAGGAAGAGTTTCTTGTACGTTAGAGCAGCATTCAGTTATCTGAAAATACACTTGGGTGTTGGATTTGCTTGAGACTAATTCCATCCACATATAGCCTGCCCTCTCTCCCAGTCTCAACCCGTTTAAGCAAAAGCAAGCAATTCAAAGCATGCAGGTTAGCTTTCCATGCTGAACAGTTGTTGGGAAGAGTCTGCCGGTTGGCTAAGACAAGTGTTTTTAAATCAGCAGTCCACAGAGTGCTGGTGAAGCAGTATAAGGTTGGTTAGCGAAACAAATAGAAAACCAAACAAGTAAAACTCACACAAGCACCCTTGTTGTGTGTTAATGAAACAGAGTGGAGGAGGAAGTAATAAATGGACTTTCAAAGTATCTTTTTTTTTTTCCTTTTGACACAAATTAAAACTATTTGAAAGTGTTGAGCAAGATGGCCTTTGCGTGGGTTTTTTCCCTAAAAGAATAGGTAACTCCTCAAGTAAAAAATGTTAAGAAATGCTACTGGGGGGGGACCTGAGGCAGTTAACTTAGCTAGCTGACCTGAACAGCACTGCTGTTCCCCTCTTTTTAATGCTGCTTCTTTGTTCTCTGCTTTTAAGTTAACGTTCTGTTTCTGACCCCGTTTTCAAGTACAGAGGGCAGAGATACCCAAAACCGACTCAAGGCGCTGAATGCTGCTGTCCTGAGATTATCCAGGAACATCAAGGAATTGCAGAATGAGAATCGGAATTTGAAAGAACATCTAGATCATGTACTCGGCAGTTCTTCTCCTTCCAATAAAACAAAAAGTAGGTGCTGAAAAGTTGGTGAACGTGGATTTAGCTAGATTGGAAAGATGTGTTTGAGAGCAGGACCCTACTATGGTAGAAATGAGGGAGTTATTAAAAAAGGTGAAGATTCAGGAGGGGCAAAGTTTCTTACAGGAGTCTTTCTCTGACTTCTGGATGTGCTGCTCCAGTCAGATCTGGGTTTCCTTTATTATTATCCCTGAGAATCCAGGGCAGGAATTACTTGAAGATCTAATGTTTCACTGGAAGACTGTTTTTCAGCTGTTGAAAACTTCATATTTGATTTCTGGAATAGTTGGTATAGAAGTCATATGTTTTAAGATCATTCTCATTTCTTCCTTGCTGCATATTTGAAGTTGGGGTTCAGAGATCTTTAGATAGGCTTTCTGTGTGGACAGAAGTTTCAAAAAGCAAGGACAGTGTTGACTCACTGATCTGGTTTCATGTTTAAATCTTTGTTATTGTATTTAGATTATAGTGAGTGGAGCAGGCAGAGGCTGGTGAGGCGGATTTCGGAACTAGAAAAGGTAAGTGATCATAAATCTTACCTGTCTTGGAGCAGAAAATGCAGAACCACTGGTTTCTGCTGACGGCATGTAGTCCTTCAACCGATCAGTCTCTTGCATTCTGGCTCATACATGTAAACTGATGTCTGTCCCATATGCCCTTCCTCCCTTTTTTCTTTTCTCCTACTTGTTACATGCAGATGCACATTTTAGAATTAACTTCCATTGCATCTTTTCTCATGAGCTAAATAAAATAATTCTATGCTGAATTTTATTTTCTTCTTTTTTCCCTTTTTTTTTTATTTTTTGTGTAAATTTATCCTGTTTAGAAAGTATGTGCCATGGAGAACACCAGGGTGTCATCAGTAGATGGTGAGTCGTCACAGTTACTTGCTGTGTCACCTTCGCCTTCTGCAGGCCTGGATCATCCAGCCTCTCAACAGGTAGACCATGTTGCGGAATGTCATCGCCTCCAAGGGCTAGTGAAGAAGCTGAAGAGTGATAGGAAGGCACTTCAAAATCTCCTACTCAATCAAGAGTAAGTGTGACTCTTGTCTTTTTGTTGGTGTGAATTATTTAATGATTTCTGATCCCATTATGAAATGATGTAGCATTCACACGTTCAGCAAGAAAATGGATTTTTAGGGTCCCTTCAGCTTTTATTTTCAAAAGCTTCTTATAGTCCTGCTAGCCTTGTAAAAATTATATTGCTGAAAAAAAGATGGTGAGAGGATGGAAAATGAGAATTTCTGCTTGTTTCTAGCACGTTTTTCAAGGCATATTTTTTGCCAACCTCACTGGAAAGCCTTTGAAGTGTTATATGTCACTTTACACAGCACTTCTTGCAAGTATTTTGCTGTAAAGATCTGTCTTGTTTTTCCAACATGTTTTGTCCTGATCTACCACTTCTCCGTGAAAGCCTGCCTTCTGCCGTATGATGCACTGTGGCTTCTTTTCTCCCCAGTAAAGAACTGATTCACAGTTTGTATTGCTTGGCCTCATTTGGTGTGTCCGTGCGTAAGGGCGGGCAGGCTCATCTGATCACGAGCAGAGGTGTACACACAGCTGCGTGTGGTGGATAAGACACGCTGCCTCCTGTGCCAGCTCGCCTCCGAACAAGAACGCATAGCGTGAGCAGACGAGAAGGCCTTTTGCGTCTGAGCAGTGTGTGGTTGTGTAGTTTTGTTTGTTTGTTTGAAAGGAAAAATTAAACATTTAGTTACTTCACAGATTTGACAGTGTCTATTTTATTTAGAAGTTTAAGCAAAAGTAACTACTTTGAAGTATGAATGTATGAAGTATTCCTTGCACCTTTGTAGGTTAGCTATTAAGCAGTTGCTGCAGGCTAAGGCTGAAGTGGAGCTGGAGCTACAGAAGTGGCAGAATAAGTTGGAAGAAAAGAGTACGGAAGAGCAGACTTTAAGGTATCATATTGTGTATTACTAGATCCTTCCAGAACCAAAAAAATATCTGTTAGAAAAAATTTCTCGTGGCTCAAAATCCATAGGAATTTATCTGAACTGCGGGAAGTTGGGAATTCATTTAAGCAGAACTGTTTTGGAAGGATGGAGTAAGTTACTAGGGGAGTTACTAGTAAGTTACTAGAGTGGTTTGAGAAGTAGTGGAAGACTAAGTAGTGTAGTAAAAATAAGAATTAAATTATAATAAAAATAAGTAAGATAAATGGAAAAACGAAGCTGCCACGTTGGGGTCAGCATCATGTTTCCCTTTCTAAGGAAAATCTGTAGTAAGTGAGTAAGTAACCTTACCTCTGTCTATGCTTCTAGATCATTGCCAGTGTCATTCTACTCCATGTATTCTGTGTAACTGTTGATAATAATCCTGTACAAGGGTGGTAAAAAGGGGGGGGAGGGGGGAAAGGGATTTCATTATGGTTTTGTGAGAAAGGACTTCGCTACAGTTTCATATTTGTCAGTCATCAGATCTGAGTGCATTATTAATAATATCAAAGGTACCATTGTAACCTTGGGGAGTTGATGTGGTGTTGGGTTTTTTTGTTTTGGTGGTTTGGTTTCAGTTGTGTTTTGCTGCCTTTTTTTTTTTTTTCCCCTCAATTTTAACATGGGGCTGTGCTATCTTGAGAATGATGTTACATGTCTGTTACTGTAAGAATATGTATAATGGTATCATGGGCAGTTTCCCACTTTGACCTTTAAGAAAAAAACTCAAAGCAACCAAGTCTTATGAAATGGGTTGAGTGTTTTCAAAGCAGGAACAACAGAAAATTTCTCATTGTAAATATCTTTGCTTTTCCAACTATAGTGAGGAAATCCAGGGCCTGACACAGAGAGTAGGGAAATTGGAGTCAGAATTGGAGGAAGAGAAGAGGCAAAAGGCAGAAGATACAATAGAAAAGCTTAATAAGGTATGGCCACATGATTTTATGTTGGTGGTGGATTTGGATTTTTTTTCCCCTTTCACCTAACTAATATATTGCAAATTGAGCTGATAAATAGCTGTTAGTTGTGTTTCCACAGAGGCAGTAAATCTTGTCATAGAGATTCTGAATGATGGTTATTCCCAGAATTTGTTGACAAATTGTTTCAATAATTGCAATTACAGCTTGGGGGGTTTTTTGAGCTGTTCTCTTAGTGATTATCTGCCCCACCATTGCTTTTTTTTTTTTTTTTAATTCAGTGGAATGTTGCAGGAAGCTTACACTTTTAAGTGTTTGAGGGTTTTTGCCTTACATTCTAAGGGGGAAAAAAAATTGTGGCTTTGCTTGTATCTTCTTACAACATCTAAACCCATTAGCTAATTTCATTCTAATTTTGAAGAGGGAGGAAGTCTTGGAGGAGTTGCCAGGTAGATGAAGGTAAATGTGCTCACTGGCAGACTGGTAAAAGACAAAAGCCCCTTTTTGGTGATTTTTATGCTGGTCAGGTGATCGGTTAGGGCACGTGTGTTGTCTAGTTAGAAAATTCTCATTAGCTTTTCTGTTTGGATGGAACCTCTCTTTCTGGATTTTCCAGTATCTAACAAACACAATCGTGCAGTTGTTACCCCTGGACAGTCTTAGGTGGGGCTCTGTCATCAGTTGAGATATTTTTATTTTGTGAATTATGGCTGAACCTGACATCTTTGCAATCTTCTGTCCCTCTGCCACACGTTGGTGTAACTGGCCAGTAGAGATGAACGAACACCAGCAGACATGCTTTCAGATGCAGTGTGGACATGTTAATCTCATTTCACTAAAACCTAGTTGAGAATTATTGCTGGGATTTTGATTGTACTTAAAAATAAATAGACCCTGAAATACAGGTACTAAAAATATGAATAAAAACGTCCAGCGCTTAAGACCATGCTGGTTTTTGATATACTATGCAATTCTTTAGGTTCTTTTTTTGTGTTATAGGCTGATGGGTGCTAGATGATGTTTTGCATACCAAATAACTTGGGTCTTTAAAAACAGCCAATAAACAGCTCCTTTTTCCTCTGCAGACTATATATATTCTTGGCCAGTAACCATCCATTTATTGAAATGTTCCCATTATTTGTAATTATTGCTAAGTTCCTACCAATTTTTCATTTTAATAGTAGGTTGTCATTTTTAATATAACATGATCCATTTGCTAAACTTAAGCCTGTAACTCAGGGGTTTTAGTTATAAATAAACCCTTTTCACAGAATGAAGAGGTTTTCAGTCTATAAAATCTCTTGTTCCTCTGCTTAAAACTTTACACCAGCAAATTAAATTAGTCTTGTAAAATGGCAGTTAACTTTTTGTTTGGCAAGTGAGGTATGACAATTAATATGGGATAATTAGGGATCAAAAGGATCAGATCATGAGAAGTGGAATATGCAACCACACCTCAGAAGAAAGAACTGGAACAAAATCTTGTTTTTTTTCTTGTTTTCTTCTAATTAATTTCTTCAAGACAGAAGAGTAGAGTTATTCCAGTTTACACAAGCTGTCTGTCCTGTTGGTGTCATACAATGGCCAACTCATTAGTAAGCCTAAACAGATGATGATGGGGCCACAGTTGCCAGGATGAGACATGAGAGAACTCACTGGTTAACTAATGCTAGTCTTTCCTGGAGAAGAATTGCAAAATTAGGTATCCTGACATTTGTTCTCAGACTGTCAATAAAATACATTTCTGGTCAACAAAGCAGCAGCTTCTACTGTTGGAGCTCTTACTGCTTTAGCAATGCATAGAAAAATAGGAGTATGTGTAAATGAAAATCTTTATGCTCCCATGCTCTGCTAACAGCTAAAATGGGTTGGACAGGAATGTGTTCCACTGTAACAGTCATCTAGATGATGAGTTTGAACATGAGCAATATTCAGAACCAAAGGTTACTTTTTAACTTCCTTCCACCCTGCAGGCAGGATGAGCATCTAACAACTGTGGTGTTTATTTTTCTGAGTCATTTCTAACCGGTTTCTCATAGAATTCTAACTTGTGTCTTAAGTGTACCAAGTTAGAGGTTCCTCTCTGCTGTTATAGAACCACAGACTGGTTTAAGTTGGAAGGGACCTTAAAGCCCACCCAGTCCCACTCCCTGCCATGGGCAGGGACACCTTCCACTAGGCCAGGTTGCTCCCAGCCTCATCCAGCCTGGCCTTGGACACTTCCAGGGATGGGGCATCCACAGCTTCTCTGGGCAACCTGTCCCAGTGCTCCCCACCCTCTCCAGGGATTTCCTGATGTCCAATCTCCATCTCCCGCTTTCAGTATAAATCCGTTACCCCTTATGCTGTCACTCCCTGCCCTTGTAAAAGGGCCCCCTCCAGCATCCTTGTAGCCTCTTCAGGTACTGGAAGGTGCTGTAAGATCTCCTCAGAGCCTTCTCTTCTCCAGGCTGAAGAGTCTTCACCAGTCTGTACGGTTAAAAGCAAAGAAAATCACAGGAAGGAGCAAGCAGCCAAAATCATCCAGAGACAGTGGAAGAGGTACCGAACCAAGGTGAGATACTCCTATCAGGGGGCAGTGAGGACACCCTTCTCTGAACCTTGCTCTTGTTTTAGCATCTAGAGTAGCCTGCTGCCAGGCTCTAGGAACTGCAGCTGTGCTTCCCAGTGTGATTCCTTAGCACCATCTTCTCTTTCACTGCTTTTTTCAAGTCCTCCCTGCTGCTGCTTTTGCCTTTGCTCCCTAGTACCCTGTTGTTTCTGCTGCAAGGTAGCCAGTTTCTGAATGGGGGCAAGCAGAGAAACTAAGGAAGCACAGCAGTGCTTGAAGCAGTGCTGCTGCTGTTGCCTCCTTGGAGTATGACTGAGAAGTTAAATTCCCTTAGCAGAAACTAGGACAAAATAACTTAGGAAAAAAAAAAAGGCATTAGTCATAAATTTTGTTGTATGGGCAATAACATAATGCTGCTTTTCCCACATGTAGGACTTGTGGTGTGAGGTGGGTCTTGTAACTGCTTCTTAGGAAGCAAAGATAAAAGAATTTTCCACACATCTTTCAAAGATGCAAAGCTTTTCTTTCCTTTAAGTTTGTTGTTTGAGTTTTCAGGAAGAGGTGAGACAAGTGTTTTCTGTATGTTTTAATTGTTGGGGAAAATCTGGGAAGTCTTTATTGAACAAAGCTTGTACACATATCTGGCATTAACAGGCATTTTTCGTTTCAGAAAAAAGAAATTGCTCTGGATGAGGTGAGTGTGTTTTATGACACCCAACAAAACAGTAAAACACATTTAATTTGTATCAAAGCACAAACATACTTTTATTTTTTATGAGGTTTTATTGTAATATGAACTGTACGAAGATTGTGTTTGTTCTTCAGGCTGGCTCATGATCTTCCTTCTGACAAACGTTTTGTTTGATACATCTGGTCAAAGTGTTCCCCTTTTGGTTTCAAATTTTCTCTACTTGATAACTACTGCAAGATGAACGCTGCTGACTTTGGAACAAAATTTGATACAAACAGACAGGAAAGTTTTTCTATATTAAGTAATTCTAATAATTCTTTCATTTTCACTGTTAGGAATCTTCAGGGAGATTTGAAGGAGGAATTTGAAGCCTTTGCTAAGGAGAAGCATCTCTGAGTATTATGAAGAAAATTACTTTGACAAACTTGTCACTTTTTGATAAACGTTTTGCACAAAGGTTTTGATTAAACTGGTTTTCAGATAGCACAACAGAATATCTTACAGTTTTTTTTCTCCCCGAACATTACAAATCCTGTTTTCAGAAATTAGAGCAAATTCTAACCGTGTGACACAATCAAGCTGGTTTACATCTAGATGCTTTTTGTTGGCTAGAATCCAGTAAAATCTCTGAGTAGAGAGGAAAGACCTATGTTCAGCATAATCACCACAGTGGTCTGCCAGGCTTGGCCTGATTTCTGATTGTACCACAGAGCCTGCTGGGTAGCCAGCATCTAATGTGAGAATAGCAGCACATTGCTCTGTTTGTGAAAGAGGCGAGTGTTGGCAGCTAGAACCTAACTGCATCTGGTAAGATCAGGCATGAACACCTCCCAGACTGAATTTAAACCCTGGAGGTGTATGTCTATGGGTGTCACAGGCAGGGGGTTCTCTGGAGTGCAGCAGAGTACCTGTGAAGTAATGGGGACATGTGTGTCTCCCTTACAAATAAGAAAATGTCAGGACATAAAGGAGTTTTCGTTGCACACGGGAAAGTTATTTTTCTGGTGTGCCTTTTCCCTCCAGATTCTTGTTTTAATTTATAGCTGCCATTTTTCAAAGGAACTAACATCTACTTATTTCTTTCCATGCTAGGCAGTTGTTATGCTTCAGGCAGCTTTCAGAGGACATTTAGCTCGACAGAAACTGTTACTGAATAACAGGATGCATGATGCAAAATCTCAGAACAAGGTAATTGTTGGGGCAAATGGGTATCCAGGCATCCCATCATGTTTAGTTTACAGTGGGAAGTACTGTACTTCCAGACTTAATTCACTGAATCACCCGGTGATGTTTTAACGTGCTGGGAGGCAGCACCACTGTAATTCCAGAAGGATATTGAGCTCATTCCCTAGCCTTCCTTTCTATTTTCTTTAGTTCACAATTTTTCTTAGAAGTAAAGTGAAATTTCTCTGCATTATGGACAGTGACTGGGTCTCCTCTTTTTTGTGGTTCTTCCATCAGCTTATAACGTGCCCTTTGACTCTTTAATTCAGTGCTGTTGGAAACTGTACTTGCTGTCAAGTGTTCACTAGTGAATCGTAGGAATAGACAAACTTTTGCCACTGAAGTTCAAAAATAAGAATTTGGAAAGGAGCTTTGGTTGGATTGGAAAGTAAAGGATTCTTGTGTGTGGCATACTCAATCAAAGACTTGTAGGGTCCTCTGTCATGTCAGACTCCCTCCAGATTGCTCTGTTTTGAATATGAAGAAAATTCCTTACCAATTAAGCGTTTAGTTTCTGTAAATCGTTTGCCCACTTAAATGAACATCCTTTGGACCTTTAGCAGCCTACAGTTAATTTGTAATTCTCCATCCAGGTTGTCCATCTGGTTGCACTTCACATGCACTTTTATTTTGGTTAAACTGACCCAACGTAGTAGGACTGAATATGTCTGCTTGATACAAGCAGAAGGTGTATTGATCATGAAGGATGCCTTACCTCCTTTGATTTCTACATGCACTTTATTATTAAAGGATGCCTTACCTCCTTTGATTTCAACAGGTTTCCTTCCTGGAAAATAAGTGAACTTTCCATGCAGGTGTCTGCACTTTGATTAACTGAATACAGATGCTTCAAAGCTTGTGTGATGACCAGGTTTGGAGTTCCTGC